GCACACAACAAAGTATAGAAGCATACAACAAAGTATAGAAGCACACACCAAATGTGCTCTGTCATCTGTTAAAAGCGTTGGAAGTACCACCTCAACAATAACAGAGCATTATCTTCATGCATTATCACTGATCCCACGGGTGGAGCTGTGTGTAAACTATGGTAAAGTGGCCCGTCAGCAGTGGCAGGAACAAGGAGCATACAAAGAGCTGAAATCTAAGAGAAAACTGATTAAGATTTTGCTGCAAGTTTGATTTGAGATAACAGCAGGAATGAGCCGTGCAAAATTAAGTAAACGGTTCCACTTTTACAGCCAAGCTGGGCTTTATCAGAAAACACTTATCTTCAAAGAATGCAAAGTGTTTTACATTCCCACCCATTATATGGGAAGTCTGCAAATTATACGTTTTTTGTTATGAACCAACGAGGCGTTAATCAGATAACTCGGTCTGCGTTTAATAGCTTTGTATCGCTCGGTTCAATCCTCGCGTTGCTTCACACTCGACCTGGGTCTAGATCATTTACCAGCTCAGGCTCTCGTGACTTTTCTGTTAGAAACGATTGGTCATCTGACGGCAGCCATAAAGACGAGCAAACCCTAAAGACGCGTCTCTGAGATTCCACACATTCTTGTAATTGATTTAGCAAATTGCCCCCGCCTGAAATAATTATCGGTATCAACCTTCTCTACAAAGCTGGCTGTTATTTCTCCAAGAATAGAAATGCTTTGTTTGCAGGAAATGGAAGCTTTTACAATAAGATTGCAACAACATAAACAACAGAAGCACATTACCCAACATTGTTACACTAATGCTCCATTACTTCCCTTTTTTTAAAAACCACCATTTCAAGCTTCTAATTTATCCTGATGATGGAATCAGAGGATTTTATTTATCACCCAAGAGGTGTTGGCAGGCGATAATGTGTTTGCACTCGTCTCTGTGTTCTTATGTTGGTTAACAAAAAATCTAATGAAAGATTTGACAAATTTAAATGAAACTTGCAAAACGTAATGATTAAGTTTTGGAGTCAGTTTCACTCAGAATGGGCACTACAGCCAACTGACCCTAAAAACATGATAATAGCTAAAACCCGTTCAATTTTACACGTTATGACCAAAGATCTGGTGTAGTTGTAGCTGAGAGTCATCCCCAGCACATCTGAGTTCATTATTTTTACTTAAAACTTTTGTATTCACTGTTGGGAGTCAACCCTGATTGTCTGTTAGCAAAATATCTCATGAACAACTGCATAGATTTTAACGAAACTCTCAGGAAGTACTCATTGACTATACCTTTTAGAGTCAGCCAGTTCAAGATGGTTGCCACAGCTAACTGACCTTAGCCAACACACAAATTAATATAACTTGGGTAATTTTACAGGTATTAAGCTAAGATTTGTTGTAGTAGTAGCTGAGAGTCATAATCCAAGCGCTAACACGTCACACAAGATCTCACAATATTGCATGAGATTTACAAAGCTTCATTTGACTAAAAAAACTACAACTCTATCATTTCTCAACATAAAATGACTTTAGTCAAAACCTCTGACAAAAAAGGTGGCGGGTAATACGCATTCCTTCATGAAACTCTTGACCCTTTAGGTATTAAGGCTCCCACATACTCAAGCGTATTTCACTTCACAGAGGCCCTCGCAGACCAGATTAGACTCGATGCGGTCTCGAAGCAGACGCCCGCAAGGCATGTCCGTGCAAAGATCAATTTTTACGACCGCATATTCGGTGTTGCGCAATAAACGGACGGCGACGGACTGTTTTGTATGTGACACCAATGTATTAAATTCCCCTTCTTCATCCCTGGTCTAGTTTAAAGGCCTTTTCTTTCGTTATGGTTTTTCCAAGAGGCAAGCAATCTCTTCCTCCTCGTCCGTTGACGCCGTGACTGAAATTGTGAGAAATGAAGGAATTTGTCACGAGAGAATTAAAATTAGGCCTGGCGTAGCTGCGGGAGGGTCTGGAGATGTCCTGGTGGGCCGGTCTGATGTGTGGACTGCAGGGCCAGCGCTCCCAGTTTTTTTTTTAAAGAACTTTTTATTAGCAACACAAAAACACAGAACACCGCTGCTGCTGCTCCTTTTTTTTTGTTGCGACCTGTCAATTAGTCCAATAGGTGTGTCAGCAAATGACCAGTCGGTGACCTCAATTTGTCCCGAAGGTAAATGCCCCTTGCCTGCGGAGCTGACTGCAGCCCATTGGAGTGTACGCTCGAGTATGAAGTTTCAACCGTCTGCGGACAGTGCGCGCAGTGTCTGCGTGGCTCACGGAGTATACACAGTATGCTGAAGTCTGTGGGAGCCTTTACTTAGTAACTTCTGGTGTCAGAAGCATTCATGATGGTGGGGGAGGGACAGTCATCCCCCAGAAATTTTGGGATAAAGTAGATGCCATTTCCTGCATTCTGATGTAACTTTAATGAGTTGTTAAACATCTAAGTTTACCTACACAGGTAAACGATTGATTCAATAACTATTTTAGAGAGCATGGCACAATAGGAAGAAGCCTGACCAACAGCTCTCCTTGTGTAAATAGAGTATGCTTCACTTCTCTCACGCATCCTAACATTCCCCATTCCAGTTGACAACTGCTGGCACTAATGTAACATTAAGCTAGTGGTGCACAATACAGACACGCTAGTTAAAGCTCCGCTTCTCTCACGCATCCTAATCCGCCCGTTGTCTCGATCGACAACTGCCGGCACTAACTTAGTGCTAAGCTACGCGCAACACAGAGGTGTCTCTCTCTCTCCTCCCCTGCCTCATCTACAAAAAAACCCCAAAGAGATGTGTCCTGCCAAGGCAAGCGACCGAGGAGAAACCCTGCATGCAATGTGGTGAGCTGTTGTAGGCAGCCAGGAAAACCAGGAGTGGATTCTTAGTGGTTTGAGTATTCTCCTATTAATCAAGTGGAATGGATTTGTTCATGAAGAAATAGAAACAGCGCTGGGTGAAATAATATTTCATGGTAAATGTGGGGGGGTCCAAACAAATGTTTTTAATGTGAGGGGGACACGTCCCCATCACATATAATTGATGTGACGCCAAAGATTTAGAGTCAAGTGATACAAAATGGTGCCACCTCCCAACGACTGCTGCACCTCTGACTTGTTACGCAAACTCTTTTCACTTCTGAACCATCAAAAACAAACAAAAAAACGCACACACACGATTAGTATAAAAACAACATTACCGGATCTAAGTGTTTATATCCACCTTTTGGTAGGTTCTTTCTTAACAAGATGATATTATGCAAAGTCATATGATTAACAAAATGACATAATAGGCTTTATTTCCCTTAGGGAAGTTTGTTCAGGAATCAATACTATCCAAATAGTTGCCTTGACAAAATTTTAGTAAAATAAATTAGCATTACTTGAAGGAATACAAATTGCCCACTCTCTTGCATGCCAAAGTTTTAATAGAGGTTTTACACAACCTGTTAGTGCTTAGGGTATGTAGTGGGATGATTCTCAGCTACAACCACAATAAATTTTAGCCAAATATCTGTAATATCGATCCAGTTGCAGCCTTTTTGTATTTTCTAAGATCAATAAACTGTGGTGGTCACCTTGAATAGGGTTGAATCATCGTAAAAACTACCAATAAAAGCTTACATTTGTAAAATTTATGAAGCTTTCCTTTCTTTACCAGAGCTGCTCTACACTGATTTTTCAGTTAGCTTCTTCTTAAATTTCTTTCAGTCGTTACACGTTTCCTCAAAAGTGTGTCACTGGATATTTTTAGGTTCACTTCTGTTGCTCTTTCTAGTTTCAGTTCTGAATCTTCAACGTAGATTTTCTTTTTTGTTCCACATGTTCTAAATGCGTTTGTAATTAAATGATGTGAAATCCCTGCTTTGGTCCTTTTTCTTCTGAAATTGCTTTCAGAGGTGATTCACTCGCTTCTGCTGCGTATTATTTTTCTTAGTGCACACGTCGCTGCAGAAAAAAATCTCCTCGCATGACACACGATTTTTATTTGACATCTGAGGGACTGAACGTTCCAGTCCTCCACCGACCTGTTGCTACGGGAAACTGCTGATGCTTGTTGTTCGGTATGATGCAGAAACAGCTATTTATATAAACCATCTGAGTTCATATGCAATCGCAGGTTTCCTGCAGATGCAAGCATGTTAAAGTCTCCTAAAGAGGAACTTGAACAGCACTGACAGGAAAATGACCGACGTTGGTGACAGAACTGAGCTGCTAAATTTGCCATTAGAACATAGGTGTTATAAAAGGAAATGCTCGGAGCTTAAAAGTTGCTCACTGATATTATAAATATGAAATAAATGCACATTGTTCGCCGCCTTCCATGCCGGAGTTTAAACTAAAATCCTCCTTTGTTTAAAAAATAACTGGAGTTAAAATGGTTTTGGTCCGACCTTGAGAATGACATTGTGCAGTCTCGTGCAATATTACAAGTTCTCATGATATGCGTTAGTGCTCGGGATTTGTGTTGTGGCTCACAAGATATTTTGCTAACTGTACAGTCACACGTGCATACAAAGACATGGGTGGCATGCGATATTAATATTACAAAAATTACGTTATTATTTTAATTTTTTACCACCTTTCTTTACAAAAATGTTTGTTTTTCGTATGTGGAAAGAAACCAGAGCACACTGAGAAATGTAAACTCCAGCCAGAAAGACCCCACGTGGAAGCAAACGCGTGAACCTCTAGCTGTGAGGTGACTGCGCTAACCGCTGCTCCACTATGTCCTGCTATACAAAACACTAAGAATCTATTCTGTCTTGTGTCATTTCTTTAGATTCTTGTGTTTATGTACTTGTGTCTCCCGCCTTCCCTAGTTTCTTCCTTCATGTGACAGCTCTTTGCTTCACCTGCTCCCAATCAGACGAGGTGTTCGTCATTATGTCTCGTCAGCGTCCCTTTAAGTTCAGCGTCTTTGTTTCCTTGTTGTCCGTGTATCGTGCTTTCCATTGCGTCATGCCCTGTTCCTCCGCGTCATCGTGTTTCCTCGCGTTTTCCTATTTTGTGAGTTTGCTGCCACGTCAGCCTTTGTTTCTGATCTTTTGTTAATCAATTTGAATTTGTTACATTTTCTTTCAGTTCCTCGCATTTGTCTGCGCCTTAGGTTCAAACTCCACAGAACATGATAAACGCAACTTTTTTTTTTTTTTTATTAATTACAGTAATCTGTTCTAGACACAGCACAATTCCAAAAGTTGCCTATGTACACCAAAATAAAAGATGTTTGGTTCTTACCAGTGTTGGATCCAGATAAGTTGTACCTGGAGTTGGCCTTTTTGATGATGTTCTCGTGGATTTGGTTCCATTCACTCTCTGTGTTGCACCTTGGATAAAAAGACAACACAGAGCAAACCATAAATCAGCTGTAACACAAGTGATGTGGATGAAGAAGACTTAGTGGACTCAAACGAAGCAGGAATGTACGAGGTCATTTATAGCTTTTACTTTTCCCCCAATAATCCAACTAGAACGTGCATTTGTGTGTGTGTGTGTGTGTGCACGTGTGTGTACATATAGTTAGTGCATATTTATTTACAGCTAATTTTATTGAACCAGTCTTTTTTCCCATTATGTCAACAATAAGCTCTTTGAACCTTGAGGGCATCACCAAAGTAGAATAAATTGAACGGCACAAAGAATCTCTGTCTCATCTCAGTTAATTGACCATAGAAAATATTTTTTAAATGGTTATAAATGAGTCAGTTTTGCAGAAATTGAGCTAAAATATGGGGTGCAGAAGCAGAGAGTCATCCCCAAGACTATACCTGCGTGTTTTGTTTAAAACATAGCTTTTAACCAGGCTTATTTTGAGCCAGATCCTGCCGGAACATGATTCGGGAACTCTTATTTTGACATGGTGCGTTCCAGTGACTGTTTGCTTGGATCCGGTAACTTTCAGGCCTAATAAAAATAAAGTTATGTAAGGAAGCTCAGTTCTCAAACCTTAAATTCATCAAAAATATTGAATACATTTTGAATATATATGGAATAAATGATGAAAACGATGACACGGGCCGGTAAAATCTATGATTTTTTTGCACGAGTTGGATCCTCGATTCCACTTGCCAATCAATCCAGTGGGCTCGTCAGCAATTCACCAATTGGCGATCTCAATTTGTACTGAAGTGAAACGCCCCTCACCTGCAGGAGCGGTGGGGGGTGTTAGGATGTGTGAGAGAAGCGGAACATGCTAAACAACTAGTAAGGTAAGAAATGATCCTGTGCTTAACTCTTAACACTTGTAATGTTGCATTGGTGATTTTATATTTTTTGAACTCCTGTAAAGCGTCTTTGAGCACTTAGAAGAGCGCTACACAAATAAAATGTATTATTATTTTTATTATTATAAATCACACATAAAGCGTTTAAAAGTAAATTATAAATATGAGCTGGTTTGTAATTTTGACATTTGTGCGCCTAAGCATTGTGTTGTGTGCGTGTGTGTTCAGTGAACCTTGGTCTCACACAGCTATTTGCATTCCAGCATAATTTGGTTTACAAATTAAGCACTGCTTCTAATTATTAAAGTAAGCTCATTCTGTCTCTTAGCAAAAGATTTCAGCAACATGCATTCCTTTAAGGAAAGCTAGGCTTTTATTTTGAAAGATGAATTTCCAACGAAAAGCTAATAATACCACCCTTTGCATCAACTTACGCATAAACCTTGAGCAGGTGGTCATCCTTGGAGTCAGCAGTGAGGAGATCAGCGATGCTGACGACAGCACAGCCAAACGGGCGCCTGTACTGCACGCTGCACATGTTCTTCTTCTCGCCTGCTCCCATCCTCCCTGCAGAACACAGACACACAAACGGTTACTCGTGGTGAGAATAGTCTCATTTTAAAAGACCAAAATGTTGATAACGTGCTCGAGAGAATAAAGTTCCTCCCACCTATTCGTATGATGTGAACGATGATGTAGACATCTTTTCGTAGATCACCGCTTCCCAAATCCTGATGCAAGAAAACAAACTTGATTCACGTTTAGTTTGCGGCACGGCAACAACACACGTCGCTTTCTAAAGCTTTAAATTGCTCCCCGTCAACCTTTTTTCAAAACAAAAAGTCACGTGCATGACTCACCACAAATAGCGTGCATTGTCTTTCTGTCTTCTCCGGCCACTTGGGCAACCCGCTCTTATTCAGCCTGACAAAGAACCTTTCACTGTACGAGAGGGAGACAGAGAGAGATGAACGAGGTCAGGAGCGACGCCCGGGTGTCGCGTAGAAGTAAACAGCCGTGTCCAAGTGACTGCGAGCGGGAAGAGAATAAAGATTAGGAACAATGTCAGAAATGCCAAACGCTGAGCTACGGGCACCGGAGGAGTCACGTCAAAGTTCAAACTACACCCCGACGCTATGAGACAGCAGAAAGACAGGCAACAAAATAGAAGGCAACAAGATTAAAGCATGAACACAGGTTGTATAAAATCTGACATGTGGTGTTTCGGTGGCTGGGTAAGAGTGACGTTAAAAAGAGAGATTTCTCTCTGACATACCAGGCTGTCATTGAAAATATATATATTTTTTAAAAGTACAACCTTAAGAGTTAGAACTGTAAAAAAGTCAAACCTTTGTAGCAAAGGTGTCAAACAGAGATTTTTTTTTAAATTAAGTTAAAACTGATAAATGCCACAAATGTGATTTATTAAACCCCTTTGTTTTGTACTGCACTGTTCTGTCATTCTTCAAGAGGTCTACTTACAGTAGGCTTGATTTAATCAAAAGTACAGCTTTATTTATAAAACACATTTTATTTTAAGCAACCCAATGTGCTTTCTAACGAAAACAGAAAAAAAAAATTAAAAAGTGAGCTTGGATTTAAATATGTACAGACATGCAGAAACACAGAACGTAAAAGGGCTAATACAGAATGTCATGATCACCAAAAGCAGACAGACAAAGGGGACTCGAAGACAAATAAAGAATATACATTTATTCTGCACCTAGCTCAATACATTTATTAAACAAAAAACTAAAAAACAAAAGCTGACAAGGCAGTAAAACTCACTTGGGTACAGGGAAACACGAGGAACAGAACAAGACAGGCTACGGGAAGCACAATCCACGGACAATGTGAAAACACAGAGACGCTGAACTTAAAGGGACACTAACGAGACACAATGACAAACACCTGGGGAAAGACAATGAGGATACAGGTGAGAGTGGCAGGAGCTGACTGGATGAGGAGAAAAACACTGGGGAAACTGGAAACACCGGAAAAACAGACTGAGAACTACATAAAAAAAAATAATCACAAACACTACAAACCATGCAAATATGACACAGAATGCACAAATAATAATAATAATTTTAAAAAATCAGCTTCCCATGATTTTTAAAGGGTGCAAAGTATGACTAAGTTTTCATGGTTAGCAATCAAAGTCTGAAAATGAGTAATAGTTTAGGACTGGTTGAAAGCCGAACCACACCTCTCACTTAGAGTGACTACATTATTAACACCACGATTTTCTCCCTTCATGGACTCCAACAGTCGAAGCTCAGTGAGATACAGTAGTTCATTGTTTATCGCGGGGGATCAGTACCCTGAAGCCCCGGGATGAGTGGAAAAAATGCCAAGTAGGAATAGTAGTACAAGTTAAAAAAAAAAATCATTGTACTGTTTTAATTGTACAAATTTCATTGTACTGTTAACCCTGTGTTAACCTTGTATATGACAAATAAACACAACTTGAACTTGAAGTAGCAAGTAGTAGTTTATTATATGTATGTATATTACATATTGTGTCTGCGTGAGTGCAGCTACAGCGTGCGCTCTCAGGACATTATTACCTGCAGTGTTCCCTCAGTGCGGACTGAACTTGGAAAAAGGGCCTTCTCCTACTCCACTCCTATTTCCTGGAATATCTTGCAAAAAGATCTGAAACTCTCGACCTTGACCTCTCTAAGTGGCTTTAAGAATCTGTTGGACTCCTGGCAAGGACCAATGCAGACATGTTCCTGTTTTTAGTTTTCTACATTCGCCTTAGAATCTAGCTGTTTTTGTTGAGCACACGTCATGATCTCCGCTGTCTGCCATGTGCCAGCGCTCTCGGCCACGCCCACTTATCCGCTGCAGAGTAGATATGACACGCTGCAGGAGAAAGTTTCTCACAGGTGCAGTAAGTGCTACATAATTTAAAATAATTTATTTTAAATAAAAATCCCATGCCGATCGTGCGGCTCATCCATTAATCAGCCGATTGTGTGTCATGTCCAATCTCAATTTGAAAAACCGCGATGAGCGAGTCCGCGAGAAACGAACTGTGAGGTAGCGAGGGACTACTGTAATCCTATTGCTCTTGACAGGAAGGCACCAAAGACGAAACAAGCACAAAAATCCCAGACTACACTGCCATTGCCACTTTGTCGGATGGATTGAATCGTAATAAAAAGGTGACGCTCAGTTTTTGTTTTCTTTTAATCAACTAACTTTGCTTGCAGGTGTGTTCAAACTATTTAGTTTCCATTCATCCAATCTTTTTGTGATCTAGAAATCTTCCAGGCAGTTTAGATCGCCTTGCGCTTTTTACTGAGGGGTGACTTTGCTTTGACCACTCTACCAGAAAAAAATCTTGACAGGCAGAACGTGACGACTGACCTTCCGTGAGGTTTTCTCGTCTCTACAAAGAAATCTAATTTATCGTGACCACTGGTTTGGTGGCTTTACCTTCCCATCAGTAATTTTAGCAAAGTGGCCAAGTCATGGGGAACATCCTGACTTCTGCAGCTTTCATCCCAACACAGACCATCAGCCTTAGAGTCACAATCTGTGGTGGAATGACTGAAATGCGGGCGTATCAAAGATGAAATCCAGAACATACAAGACTTTTTATAATTTATCCAGGGCAACAAGGGATTGAGAGAAAGTGAGGACGTCAGGGATGCACTGATAACTGAATGACAGCAGGTGTGCTGATAGCTAATGGAAAACACAAGGTAGGCGAGAGCAGAAAAAAATGAGAAAATCTGGTTGAATAATCGTAACAAGAACAAAACAAAGTGCACGATTCAACAGAAGAATCCAAACTAATGTAACTGGAAATACTAAAACCACAAGAAACCAAACAAAGTGGCTCAAAACACTAAACAAAAACTATGAACTGTCCACATAGGAACTTTTTTTCTGACAATGCCAAAGATTTTTACAGTTGAGGCCTTTCATCCACATGGAAACAGCATTAATGAGGAAACAATGTTGTCAAAGCTCCACTTCGAATTTAACCTTGAATTCAAAATCTTACTTCTAACCTACAAAGCTCTCAACAACCTAGCTCCATCTTATATTACAGATCTTTTCGTTCCATAATTTCCTAACAGAGCACTTTGCTCTCAGACTACAGGTTTACTTGTGGTTCCTATAGTTTCCAAAACCAGAACGGGAGGCGGAGCTTTCAGTTATCAGGCTCCTCTCTTGTGGAACCAACTTCCAGTTTCTGTCCATGAGGCTGACACATTGTCCAGTTTTAAGACTGGGCTTAAGACTTTCTTGTTTGCTAAATCCTATAGTTAGGGTTGGATTGGGTCTCCTGAGCTATCCCTTAGCTATGCTGCTATAGGTTTAGACTGCTAGAGGACAAACTGACCACATCTTTTCATTATACTACTGTCTTCTCTGCTCAACTGTTTTGCATTTGTAATTTTTTTTTATATCCTTAATGTGTTCCAGTGATAAAAAGCCACATACTGGCCTGGCATAGCTATTATAGGGTTTTGGGTCGGTTTTAGTGTTTTCATATGGATAAAGAAATTTTTAGGAATGGTTCACAAGGTTTTTTTGTTTGTAAATAAATAAAAAGATTTCGGAAAAATTGCATTTTTGTGTGGACAAAACGTAATAAATTAAGTCATGTACTTAAAAATTGCTCCAAATACTTGAAAAACTCAAAAACATTGCTCAAATCAGACGCACAGCTGAACATAGTGGCAAAAACTTTATGATGCAGAATCCACCATCTAATAATTTTGGCCTTAAATGCCCCCCAGCATTTTAAAAATGAATGTCATGCAAAAACAGAAAGGACGGACCCTGAATGCCTTTTCCTTCTCTTTGTACTTCACCCTCCCCTCTGTCGACACTGCATGCTTTAAGCGGGACAGTGGAGACATCCTGCTGGGCCCCTCTCATCCTGGCTGGCGAGCTAAGGGCTAATCCAGTTAGGTGACTTTCACAGTCTGCACATAAGCAGAGAGAAAAACCTTGTAATTCACCAGCGTTCGCCAAGTCGCTGGTACTGCTAGCAGCACCGTCTAAAGCAGGGCCCACTCAGGCAAGGGCAGAATTCATCCTAACAGCTTCAGTTTAACTTCATGCTGCAAAGATGAGGATGCTTTAGAACAGTCTGAGCTACAAACTACAAACACAAGCTCGGAAAACTGTTAGGTGTCCATGATGTAAATAAGAGGCTGCTTGCCTTCGCTGTAATTTTGCGTTTTGTAAATGTAGGGCAGTGGGCGCCCATGCCTGAATTAATTATGCTCCTGATTATTAATTATACAAAATGCTTGTGATTTTTCATACATGAATTCCTACAGTAAAGTTTTCCTCTCATCAGGCGTTTCAGGATAACCCAGTTCGATTTGATTTGTTGTCCCTCGTTAGATGCTCTCTGGAACTTTCCACACTATTTATCCAAACATATGGAGACGGATTCCTACGCATTAGGCACAAGGCTTTGAGCACGCTTCCCCCAAACCCTAATTAGAGCTCTTATTGTTGTAACCCCAACTGCCAATTAACAACTGCTTTGGCGCAAACACCCCCCCTTTAACGCACTCTACCCTGCCGTCGACTCCCCCTCCTTACAGCTGCAGCATGAGCTAAAAAGACTAGTGCCTCTTTCCATCTCCACCCCAGTGGGACCTTATCTGACTCGATCACAGCTTGCATTAACATGGCATGAATGGACGACTTCCCTCCCCTCGGGGCTTTTGCACCACTTTCTATTCCCTCTGCTAATATCGATGATTACATTAGGGAGCTGTGAGCCCAGCCGATGAGTGGCGTTGGGATGATAAGCAAGTGACATGTAAAATGTTTAATAAATTAGCTGCTAAACCATTATCCACTGCCCAAAATGAACGCCTAAATGTGACCCCTAAAGACTAAAAGAAAAAAAAAGATTTCCAATCTCTCAAAGCATCCTTGAAAAGCAAGTACAAAAT